CGGGGACTGATTCCCCCGTTGTTCTTCCGACGATCAAGTAAGCAAGGTACTTGAGTGAGGAAAAATTGAGAACTATTGTCGTTTTTAAGTGCAGTGGAATGAAGAAAAATACAGGGAAATTGCTTACCTTCGTGTTGGGAATAGTTTTCCCTTTTATGGTCATGGAGGAAAGACATTTTGGTCTCTCTGGCCGCGCATGGGCTGGCGGCTGAGTCAGCGTCGACTTTACAAGTGTCGGTTGGGGAGCTGTCGTAGAATGAGCGCGGTCACTTAGACATTAATGAGATAGGGCAGGCAGCGTGCTGAAGCCGGCGTGGTCCGATTTTGTTTATATTATTTAAAAAAATGTTTATTTTGAAAAAAAAATCCTTTTATTTTCTCAATTATGCTTTTATGCACTACTTTAGGCCACAGTTTCTGCCTTGTTTGAATGGGGATGAACGAGGTAAAAGGGGAAGGAAGGTAACTAGTTTTTACACGGTTAGCAACAATTTCTAACTTCATGATTGTTTCGTGAAATTTACTCCTATAAGGAGCAAAAGACATCGTATCTTTGGTTTAACAATTTTTTTTTTCCAGATTCTTTTCCCTTCGTTGGAATAACAAACAACAGCAGAAATATAGTTCTAAAAATATTAAACTTCCGCGGATAGATATCGAAGCTACACCACACCGGCTGCTAGAATAAAAATTTGAACACCAAAAGAAGAGATCAGACGGCACAACAATCCAAATAAAGCAAAACGAACACAGAGTTTTTATTTGGAACGCACAACACAGATAATAAGCTTTTATACAAAACCAATTGCTATTTATCTTTGACTTTACAGTTAATTTACACATAGAATACATCATCAGCTGCAATCATACAGATCGAAAACATCGACATCTTTCTAACCCTTGTTTCATTGATCTGATAGGAGAAGGCTTCTTTTACCACAAACTCAAGAATGGGCTCCCCTTGCAATATATATAACTAGTGCGACAACTTCCAGAGGGTGTAGGATCCGCAGCTAAGTTGGTCCTTCGCTCCGACTGTGGCCAGCAACATCAATAACATCACCGTCATATATTAAAGCATTAGTTCCAGTTCCTCAGTGCAAGATATCATTGGAAAATTCAAGAATTTAGCCTCATTGAAGTTTTTAACATTCTTTGATAAGTTTTTGCTGGGACATGTGTCTGCAACAAAAACCTTAAATGGATATTTACTACCACACAAAATGGTAATTTGATATTGTTCTCCCGAAACGTAGGGGCTCTTCTATAACAAAAAGTTGAATGTATGTTCCTTCCATTGTGATTCTGTCAGTCTCTGTTACCATAGGGTCTCCAAGCTCAAACACAATCAGTGATTAAGAAATATGCAAACTGATTCTTGTGTATATGCTCAAATCCGTAAATACCTTTAACTACCTAAACCTCTTCATCTTTTAGCTCCCATCACACTGTAATTGCACTTCTCATAGCCTGCATGGAGCAGTAAAACGGATAAATATATGATAACTAAACTTGCCTTGTGATGATCAACTTAAATTCACAAATTTAGACTGCCTACAAATTGAGTTAAATACCTCTGGGATTTCTCGATTTTTCTAAGACCGCAACTTTGGAATCCTGACTTCGGCAGACTGAAAACTTGCTTGGCAGGTAAAAGTTTACAGCCTGCTTCATCTGTAACGATTTTGAGGCCACATTCATAACACAGCAACTCCAGCTCCCTCTCCTGCAACATAAAACAGTACTCAAAAAGTATATTTGATGGCATAAACTATGCCCACAGCCAACTGTATACAATCCTACACACGTTATAAAATTAATGATAAGAAGATGTACCTCAATCATCAAAATATTAGACAAGTGCAATAATGGATAAGGGTGAAGCTTGTACCCACTATAATTTATATATGATATTGCCTGTGCACGAACCTGTCATTAAGATAACATGCAAACATTAAATAAGAAATGGCAAAACACACCATTCAAAAACAAGCAAACACACCATTCAAAAACAAGCAAACAGAGAAAAGATGATCTTAAAGGGTCATAAAGAAGATTTAACACTAGGCAGCATCACTACGGTAGGAACTAGTGGACTAGATGGCAACTAACTGCCAAAATGATATGTGTGAAGAAAAGGAAACCTAAACAGCAGATGTCTGGGGAAAAACCTCATTGAGAAGTGGCTCCAGAAGACACAACTGTAAATGGGTTGCCTCAGATGCTGTCGTACTAAAGAAACGCTTATAATCTCCCATTCGAAAATACCTGCCACAGGAACAACATAGTTTTAATGAAAAACACATGCTGAAGACAGCAACGAGTCTCTTCAATCAAGAAAAAAAGCAGCGAAAGAGAAAACGTGGGGCTTAGCTCTAACAGGACAGGTAGTAAAACAGGCATCTTGAACAAAATTTCACGCGTAAAGAAAGAAAAATTAACAAGGATAATAGCATGTGAATTGACCTCGTATTACCTTAATATAGTCCTACAAAATTGCATCTCTTTTGAATGAAGAACTGGAAAAGGGAGCTGGCGGAACCATACTGAGAGTGAATTCCCCTGCATATGATATGAATGTATATTAAACATTTTAAATTACCATTTTACCCTCATCATCGGCAAGGAATTACAAAATCAGAGAAGATTCCGAGATTGACCATTGTTGGGATCTTACAACCAAGATGCAGAAGCACATAAAACGAATGAAATTCAGCTTCCTTCTTGCTTATGAAGTTGGAAATCCGGTTGATACTATAGACGTCAAGAAGAGACAGGAGGCATTTCATAAGCTGCTCCATGTTGAGGTGATACAGTGAAGAAATATCGGTCTTGCTGCCACATCTGGAAAGCTTCTGGTGGGATAGAATATGGAACTCGATCTTCACCATTATAAATTATGCATGAAACGATATCAGACCACAAAACACATCAAGAAAGCACAAGATCAGTGTGTCTGAACGGTTAAGTGCACAGGAAAACAAGTTTAGAAACTCTACCATTTGTTCGTACATATATATTGCTCGATTGTCAACAATATTTTGCATGCTAAGATCTTGTCTGATTGACCTCGTTCTGTCAAAGATGAAATCATGAACTGCTTCAAATGGATGGTCAGAAGATTCCACCAAATTCAAAAGATATTTCAATGTATTTTGCAGCACTGAAGGGGGCCGTAGATCAGATGCATGAACTTGATTGGTTGAGATAGTTCTGCAAAACTAGAGACCCAAAATTGAAGGTTAAAACGAAAGATGAAGACTAATATCCAAAAGGTCAATATTATTGATAGTATTAAGCACATAAATGTGAATGAGAGTGACTATATATGCAAGATAAGAAGCACATATGCATTATCAATGTGTATAAAACAAGAGTGACATAAATCTTGCAAAAAGACCTCCAAAATTTATAACGTTCGACGAGATAACATATACTTACTTTTTTCACAGCAAGACTCGGAGAAGTTTTTCCTGGATTTCCATTTAACCTCTCAAACACCGATAAATCCCTCAGCCTCTCACGTTGTGCCCGCTCCTTTGCTGGAACAGAATCCAATCAATATGTTACTAGTAGGTTAGTAATCAGATAATGTCTAAATCATCGTATTCAGGGGGAAAAAATGTTCCTTTTAAAATTAAATACTCCCAGAGCTGTAAAGTCATCCTCAACTGGAATGCACATCACCAAAACCCACTTTAGATTAATCATAAAATTTTACTATGAAACCTAAAGTAAATCATTTTTTTTCTCACTAGTTCAAGTAAGATTTGCAATAAAATGTGTGTGCATATGGATCTGTCCTCGTGCCTCTGCACCTGTGTTATGGCATATGTTTGTGCGACAACGAGAGAGAAGGAGATGCTAGGGATGCTTCACATTTCTGAAGCAAATTTGAACTGAACTCACCCTATACATCGATAATCTCCAGACACTGTTGGAGGTTTTTTTAAGATTTATCTTAAAATGTATTTAAGTTCTTAGATTCCGTGGCCGTCTAATCATTTTTCAACATATTCAGATCTCTTAATAAATTCAATGGAAGTCGGAATTTTGCGACATAAATAAGCACAGTCAATCATGTTTGGGCTATTATTGTTTGGGCTATTGCATATGTAAGCGAAACACGAATGCATAATGCGGTTATTTTTCCAATTATCAAAGAAGTAAAATTTGCACACAAAATAAAAAACTTGAGGTGCAACCATCGTTTCTACAAAGCAATACGAGACCTCGATGGGGGGATCAACGTTGCCAGATAAAAAATCTGTTCTTTTCCTACTAAAGTTAACCTATTTCCTCCTCTAGTAGGTAATTTGGTAGTTACTGCTCGTTGCCCTGAGCTTCACTGAGGAATTATAATGCAAGATTCGCCGAACTTGTAATTCCATGGTTTCCTTAAGCAGTAAATATGAAACCGAACGATTCAAAGAACCTGGACACATATCGGGACAAGTCCCGAGGAAATTAGGGACGTCTGAGATTGGATCCGCCGAGGTTCCTGCTCCTTGTTCGGTTTGAGAACGAGATCTCGAATTGTTGGGTGAAGAGGAAGAAGGACATGGGGTTCTCGTCGTTCGCTGAAACCCTAATAGGTCTTTGCGGCTGCTGCTCTCAATCTTCTCCATTCCCTTTTTTCCCCCTTTCTCCCCCTTGGATCAATCTGAAGCCTGAACGAAGATTTTTAGCTATAGCTTATTACCATCTTCGATCGCCTTTGCTCATGAATAACAAAAGTAGTTTTTTTTTTTAGGAGCACTAGGGGCACACCTTGGGACACACTCCCAACCACACCCCTCACCTGCTACAGTGCAGAAGGTCTTACTAGAGATTTTTAAAAAATCTCAAGTAAGACCCCCCTGCACTGTAGCAGATGAGGGGTGTGGTTGGGAGTGTGTCCCAGGGTGTGCCCCTAGTGTTTTTTTTTTTTTTTTTTTTTG